AAAAAACACTATATAACTTAATAGTTATTTCTTTTGTAAAAATGTATCTGAACGTAAAAATTTTAAAGTTTATTCGCAGATAGTACCCCCTGTCCCCAACAATTTCTCTGAGTAAAAAAAAAAATAGAGTTGGTGATTGGTATATCCAATAAATGGTAGGCATGCGTAAATATCAGCTTCATTAAGCACCTGTCTTCAGGAACCAAAGTGTCTCCTTAAAGGCTTGCAACTGTTTCATCCTGGCAGACATGGTCACTGGTGTGCTCAGTGGGGGCACCATAATTCCATATCAAAATCTCTTCTTCTTCCCCCCCTCCCCCCCTTTTTTTAATTTACTTTTTCCCCTTTCATTTGTTATTTAACTAAATTATTAAAAAAAAATTTTTTTTGATGAAATGAGGATGACTTAATTCCTCAGGCCTCGTGATGGGGAGATTTCTGGGTAACTGTCTGAAAAAGTTTTTTTTTTTTTTTTTTTTTGTTTTTTATTAACTAATCTTTCTATATCTAATAATCAAATTTTGAGATTACATTTCCCCATTTTGCTTTTGATTGTTATGTCATATTATTTAATAGTCATGAATTAATGTTGAGTTGATTGTACAAGTTATACTTCTAAACATTGATGTTTTGAACTCCTAAATAAGGAGCTAAACACACTTCTTGTCAAGACAAATTTAACAAAGTTGGATTGAGGATTTTGATTGATTCACCATGGACTTCCACCAAACTCAAAAAATTAGACGGTAAAAACTTGTAAATTGTAAGATGAGGGGTGAAATCCCTCATATCTATAAAGTTGAAGGGCAAAGTGGGAGGCTTTTTTGGCCTCTAGGGGGTAGGTGTGACATTTGACCAAACCACCATCCCTGTGTAGTGTGGACACACCATCCCCTCAAAGACTCTTCCTCCCCCCTTCCCCTCCCCTCATCGTATAAAACCCCGTCTCCCCCTTTCTTTTCTCTCAGCTTGACATTCCCTTCCAAAGAGAATACCAAGCTGAATCCTCCTTTCATTTTTTTGGGTTTTTGGCCTTTTTGATTCTGCATTTCTAAATTCAGGCGAATCCATACTCAAACTAACAGATATGCAGGCAATTTCTCCACCACACAATTTCCACTCCTTAGTTCGCCCTTCCGGGCCGCGGCTCACCAGGGTTACCGTCCGCTCTGTATACCGCTCTGACCCTGTCCACTTCCCAAACGGTGTTGGCCCATCCCGCGCTGATTGGCAGAGCTCCTGCGCTATCCTTTCCAGTAAGGTCTTCTCCGTCGACCAATCTTCCTCCGACAAATCCAACGCCGCTGCCGTTAACGGCCATAAGAGTCCCATTGACCTCAATCTCGTCCCTATTGACAAGAATAACAAGCCGCAGCCTCCTTCCACGACGCCGCCACAGAAACCCCTCACCATCACCGACCTCTCCCCCGCACCCATGCATGGCTCGCAGCTCCGAGTCGCCTACCAGGGCGTTCCAGGAGCATACTCCGAAGCAGCTGCCGGAAAAGCCTATCCTAACTGCGAGGCCATTCCCTGTGACCAGTTTGAAGTCGCTTTTCAGGCTGTTGAACTCTGGATCGCGGATCGTGCGGTGTTGCCCGTAGAGAACTCTCTTGGCGGCTCAATTCACAGGAACTACGATCTCTTGCTCCGTCACCGCCTCCACATCGTCGGCGAAGTGCAGCTTCCAGTTCATCACTGCCTTTTAGCCCTACCTGGAGTGCGCAAAGAGTATCTTACCAGAGTCATTTCCCATCCTCAGGCTCTGGCGCAGTGCGAGCACACTCTGACCAAATTAGGCCTCAACGTCACGCGCGAGGCGGTCGATGACACAGCCGGCGCAGCGGAGTACATAGCAACGAACAACCTCCGTGACACGGCGGCCATCGCCAGCGCACGCGCCGCCGACCTGTACGGCCTTCAAGTACTCGCAGACGGCATCCAGGACGACTCAGGCAACGTGACAAGATTCGTGATGCTAGCACGGGAGCCGATCATCCCGCGCACAGACCGGCCGTTCAAGACAAGCATCGTGTTCGCGCACGACAAGGGGACAAGCGTGCTGTTCAAGGTTCTGTCGGCGTTCGCATTCAGAAACATCAACTTGACGAAGATCGAGTCGAGGCCGCACCGGGGCCGACCAATTCGGTTAGTCGACGACGCCAATGAGGGGACGGCGAAGCATTTCGAGTACATGTTCTACGTGGATTTCGAGGCGTCGATGGCGGAGGTGAGGGCACAGAACGCGTTGGCCGAAGTGCAGGAGTTCACGTCATTTTTGAGGGTGTTGGGAAGCTATCCGATGGACATGACGCCTTGGTGCCCCGCCACCGGCGACTAGCATTGCTCTGTGTGTAACTCTCCAAAAAATTATTGCTTCGTTTTTAATTATTTGCACAAACTGAACAAAAGAAGAAACGGTAATTAATTAATTTTAATATTGTTTTTAGTATATATAATTATTAAATTCTTTTGAGAAATATTTATTCGTTTTTATTTTCTTAGAATTTTTAACTCTTAAATATTTTAACAAGAGGGGAAAAACAAATTGTTGATGAGCTTGTTATCTGATAAATATTCTTTATGACTGTATTACTCCTTTGATTTAACTTTAATAGAGTAATTGTTTTACATACTTTTTAATTAAGGTCATTTAAAATTAGTTGTATTATTTTTTAGTTTAAGATGTTATTTAAA